TTATTCATACTAATTATAAATTATGATATGAATAAGCTCAAATGCACACTCATTAAATTGCTTAACATGCTTAAGACTGTTAAGCCCTTTATCAAAGTTGGTAGTTGGCAAATCATTAATTCCTCTAAGAATGTTAAGATGAAATCTAAAAGAGCTATGAGATAGCATTCAATATGGTTAAGACAGTCTGAGCAAAGGATAATACCAAATCTAATGACCCTTGTCTTCGTTATAGAATGAAAGGTCATTCGAAGAAATATTACAAGGCTTACGTCTACTTCATTTATTTCTTAGGTATTTGATATTAGATATGGAGAAACTAAATGGAAGTAGACCACTACAAGAGGGAGAAGTTAACCTACACGTTGAAGATGAGCAAAGGTTGTCACATTGCCCGTAGGAGCATACTTCTTGCCGTTGCCTTTTGGCTTAGTATTGGAATTAGAGAAATGTTGCTTTGGACCCACTATAACTGGAACATTAAATGAATTTTATGTTGGGACATAAACTATTTTAATAAGGACAATTGTTGTTCTTGTTTATCTTGATAAAGATCCTAATGGTTATGGTAAATTACAAAAAGATGTTTATAATCTTTAATACTAAGCATTCTATAAAGAGTATAGAAGTTAAGAGATATAAAAGTGATAATCTAATTATTACCTAAATATGGCATGACAGACTTTGTCATATAGATGAAATGCAATTCCAAAGTTACATATAAGATGTACACTTGGGATTAATTGATTTTGACAAATACAAATTATGCATGTATGACACAATGACCAAATCTTCTTTTACTTGAAAAAAAGAAAGGTCAGCATAATTGATGGTCTAATGCATAGTGATGCATATGGACTCATGTCAATTGATGTCAGGTAATGTTTCTCTTATTTCATCAATGATCATGAATACTCGATGAAACTCAAACATGAAACTCTTGAAAAGTTCAAGGGATTCAAACTAGAAGTAGAGAAACAAATACGTAAAGATACCATCACATTAAGATTCGATCGAGTGAGAATATTTTAAAGATAAAATTTAGATTATCCAAGAGAGAATGAGAATCTCTTGTAGTGGACTCCTCCATATATGCTGCAGCATAGTGGTGTATCAAAATGAGGAATCGTTAACTATTAGATATAATGCGATTAATAACAAGTCATGCAAATCTCCCAAAATTGTTTTGGGGTCATGCATTGATTTCAGTGTGCAACACATTAAATCATGTCCCATATAAATTGATTAACAGAACTCCATACGAGTTATGGAAAGGCAATAGTCCCAATTTATTTTATATGAAAGCTTAGGGCCATAACGCTTATTTGAAGCGCCTTGAATCGAATAAGTTTGACACTAAATCTAATAAATACATATTTGTGGGGATATTCAAAGCAGACATTTGAATATAAATTCTATTATCATGAAGAAAGTCTTCATCTCATGACATATCGTCTTCTTAGAGAAAATGTTTACTCTATGAGAAAACAGTGGGAGCAAACTAAAACTTGAAAGAGTCCAAGAGTCCACGGATATAGTTAACCAAGTAGATAAATCCGAGTTTAATCCTATATCTGACTTGGGACATACGCTTGATCAGGAAGTAAAGACTCTTGAAGACATGTCAGCTCTATGTGAATCTAATAGGATCATTCGACCTTCAAGAAGATGCGAATCCATGATTACTAATCAGGTATTACTGATCCAGGATAATGAATCTACTAGTTGCACCAAAATAAAGTCAAGTATTGACTTAAAAGAGACAGCAAGAGACCATGAAACTCGAGATGAACTAGACGAATGTAAAAAAGTTTGGACCTTGGTCAAGCCTCCTGATGGAATAAAACCCATAAGTTTTTGTAAATTGTTTACAAGGAAAAGGTCGATATAGATGGGAATATCCATATATACAAAGCAATGCTAGAAGCAAATGTTAAGTGTCGACTTTGGTGAAACCTTTCTCCTATAGCCTTGCTGAAGTCCATTCGGGTTTTGCTTGCAATAGTTGCATACCGTGACTATAGGTTAAGAGAAGTCTCTTGGAGCTGAAATTTTCGATTTGATGAAAAAGTCAAAGTGTTTGATTTTATCAAATTTAAAAACGAATTGTGTTTACAAGAAGATAGTGGGAGCATTGTCGTATTCCTAATATTAAAGAAAACGACATCCCTATGTTTCAATCGTTGAAATAATGGTTGTTAAAGGTTTTATTCATGAACGATATGGGAGAAGCAACTTGATTATAGAAATAGATCTAGAAAATTGCATAACTCATCCCAATTTACATAGATGAAATCTTGAGAAGATTGCATATGGAGAAATTGGTTTACTCTTAAGCGGAATGTTGGAAAGGTTCCAAACGTGAAGCAACCGTTAATTCAATAGTAGAAACCTAATACATGATTACTTTAGAAGTAGCAAAGAGTTGAAATATGGATCATGATGTTCATAAATGAACTTGGAGTAGTTCCTGATATTGTTGATCACATGCCATTGTATTGTGATAACAGTAGAGCCATCGCGAAAGTGAAGAAACTAAGGTCTCATCAATGATCCAAATATGTAATAAGGCGGTATAATCTCATCAGAGAGATAATACATAAAAATGACGTAAAGAGAAGAACAAATTTCCACATTTAACAATATTGCAGATCCACTGACAAAGAGTTGTCTAGTATAAACATGATTGTCATGTAGACTCTTATGATATTGGTTACATAAGTGATTGGATCTGGTGCAAGTGGGAGTTTGTAAGTGTTATGCCCTAGGTCCAATCAACCTTGGACATAAATGCTTTTGATATATAATTAATGCAATTTAATGGCAAATCTATCATTTAATTAATAGACAATTAAATAAGTAATAGAGTTTGTAGATTCAAATCTTCGTAATTTGTTAATCACAAAGAGTTGTGATTGTGAGATACAAATTATTTATGATTGAATCTTAAATCGTCTGTGGTCGTAAGTAATAACGAGATATGAATATCCTTATTACGGATAGACCATCACGTGTGGCATTTCTTCCTTGTGAAGTAAGTAGCTGATCTCATAAGTTAAAGTGTGGTGACACTTAAATGAACACGTGAATATTTTGTTATAGAATAAAACATTGGAGACCCACCGAGAGATTCCACATGAATAACTATCTGAGTGTCAGTGGTTAATCTCTAATGTTCGGTAGTGGGATTGCTCCTTTGACTTGAGTCGTAGAAGTATCTTATATGAGGACAGTCATGCTTTGACGGTGTTGGATGTTGCTCTGTCACGGGCCGCTAATACGGCATCGTTCGGGTATGTCAAGAATCGTATGAAGGTTGTGAATGACCAATAGAGGATTCATCACTCTTAGATAGTAGGAGATTATGATCTGCGTTTCATTCAATTAAATCGATAACGAAATCATTGGTCAAGGTGTAGTCATAGAAAGATATGATCGATATTCGGGATTGACACACTTTCATATCTCGTAATTGATCGGATCATATTAACGAAAGGATTATAGTTTCACGGTAAACGACCGAGTTTGGTTTTGTCATACCACATGACATTCCCCATCACATGTATTGCCCCGACACATTGCTAGATGTCAATATGGGACGGCAAGTGTGAATTAGTGATAAATTAAAAGGGTGTTTTAGTTTATCAATTTTGATTAGATCAGAATAATATTTCACATCGTTAGGTATCGTGATCGGGAACCTGATGAGTCGCACACAAAAGAGAATTGGAAGACTGCAATTTGTCAATTAATTAATTTAACAATCGTTGAATAAATTCATTAATTGGGTTGGTTATTTATGGGCCCAAATTAATTAATTGGATTAATTAATTCAAGGACTGAATTTAATTAAATAGATTAATTAAATATTGAATCGGACCAGGTCAAACCCGTTTGGGCTTATATAAATACATGGCTAGGGTTTTCAATCGATACAGTTTTCTAATAATTTCTTGCTAGTACAAGAGGAAAAAACCTTGGTAACTGCAATCTGTTCTCTGTGTGAATCACCATTGGAGGCTGGATAATTGGACAGCTATGGGTGACGAATTAAGGTTGTTGGAACAAAAAGAATAGTAAAAAAGTTTGCAGATCTGGAAAAGGTACAATCTTTTCACAATTTCTATCTAAACACAAAGAGATTCCTTGTGGGAATCGAAATCTATTTTAATTTTTCGCTGCGCATGTTAAGTAGATTCCCAACAGTAACATATACCACACTACTGACAAGCTTTAGTAAGAAGAGAAGTGCTGATGAAGTCTTTAAAATGCATGATTTTATGGTGCTCACAGAGTAATATTTTCAACTTTATTTAATTATGGGAAGCGTTCCTTCTACACATGAATTTGACAAGTATTTTTGACAAATAATCGTGACTTTTAATTTAAGCAAATCCATGCTAATAATAGCATATATTGTTTGATTATCTTTAAGCAGATTTACATGCTCAAAGATACCAGTGAACTAGCTGAAAACAGAGAATATTAAGAATCACAAACGAAATGCCGCGTATTCCAAGAGTAAAAAAGCAAAGAAACAATTTGCTTAGAGAAGGAAAAAGAAGAGAGAGTCCATGTGGGCCCTCATCCACTCTTGGCCACATGATATCTTGATAGGAAGATATAGTCCCCATTTGACCTCATTCTCAATCTCATTTTTTTCTCACTTTTATTTTCAATTACACAATCTTCCATAAAATAATATTACACGTAAATCAAAATTCATTATTTTTCAACCACATATTTTTCAAAAAAATATTATTCCAACCATTAAATTTTGAAAAGAATGGAGGCCACATGAGTATTATATGTACGAAATAATGTAATCTAATGGTTCAGAATATCTTTGCAATTTATAGTTCTTCCACAATGCAATCTCCAACATTCAAATTCTTATCCTAAAACCTCATCCAAAAATCCTATATCCTTCACTCCCTCTAGCTCTCATTTTTTTGCTCTCTTCATCACCAATACAATTCACCCACAAAACCCAACATCCATACATTATAGAGATAAGATTCAACTCAAAAGCTTCTGAAACAAACCCACTTTTTCTTCTTCTCCATTCGTCCATAGCCACATTTTTGCATAGCTCCAAAAAAGGTGCAGATACCATCTCTTGTTCAAATCTGACAATGTTGGTGTCCTCACGACCTTCTCTCTCTGATACCTCTTCTCTCTCATCTCGCTCTTTCCTCAGCCCTTTTCCGCTTCCTGCCCATAATTCAAACGCCTCCAGCCCTTCGAAATTGTTGAATAGTAAAGACACTTTTATTGACCATAAAAGGATAAGCCACTTTCTTAATTGTCAAGCAAGAAAGATACATGCATGCTAGTGATGGTGGTGGCAAAATTGGAGTTTCCAACTAATGTTAGCCACATTTTTTGACTAAATTGATAAGGTTGTTGATATCTTAATTGGTAAGAAAGACTCCATGCATGCATACAAAGGAGGTTGAGAAATTCAAGTTTTCTTTCTCCATTTACTTGACAAGCCAAATGTGTAGAGAATTCTAGCAAATAAAGGTGGTAGAACTTTAACTCTTCCAAGCAATTATGGAGGTTAAAATTCTCTATAAATATGGGCAAGAGTTTAAGAGAAAAGGGTGTGTCATATGGAGAGGAAAAATTAAGAGAGAAAATTGTGAGGTAGAGAGAAGAGAAGAGAGAAAATTTATTGTTTTTTCTCCTAAGTTTTTTTTTCTACTTGTTTTCTCCTATTACAAGAGAGATTATTCGTTGTTATCTCCTTGTATTTAGAGAGATTGTTGTAATTCTCCTACTATAGTGAACCTCTCATACTTGCCCGTGGACGTAGCCTAAATTGGGTGAACCACGTAAATACCTGTGTCCATTTTTAGCTGTGTTTTCTCAATTCCATTATTTGTCAACCAAACTCAACCCACGCGTTTTCTACCCAACAGAAATCATCAGTCACCCCAATTCAGTGTGGACTTCGTGAACTTTGGGAACGTATTGATTCTGTCAAGAACACCCAGAAAATCACTGAGGCTATGAAGCTTGTGGCTGCTGCTAAAGTGAGAAGAGCACAAGAAGCTGTGGTCAATGCTAGGCCTTTTTCTGAAACTCTTGTTGAAGTTCTTTACAATATCAATGAGCAACTCCAAACTGAGGATGTCGACAATCCTCTCACCAAGGTTACGCCTGTCAAGAAGGCGGCGCTTGTTGTTGTCACTGGTGATCGAGGTCTCTGCGGTGCTTTCAACAATTTGATCATCAAAAAGGCTAAGGCCCGTGTAAGAGAATTGAAGCAACTCGGTCGCGAATACACTGTGATCAGTGTTGGTAAGAAGGGTAATTCATATTTTCTCCGTAGGCCATATATCCCAGTCGATAAGTTCCTTGAAGGTAGTAATCTTCCTACTGCTAAAGAAGCTCAGGCAATAGCTGATGACGTTTTTTCGTTATTTGTAAGTAAAGAGGTTGATAAGGTTGAGTTTCTTTATACAAAGTTTGTGTCATTGGTTAAATCTGATCCAGTGATCCATACCTTGCTTCCATTATCACCAAAAGGAGAAATTTGTGATGTGAATGGGGTTTGTGTGGATGCAGCTGAAGACGAGTTCTTTAGGTTGACAACAAGGGAAGGGAAATTAACTGTGGAAAGGGATGTCATAAGGACTCAGACAACGGAATTTTCGCCAATTTTGCAATTCGAGCAGGATCCTGTGCAAATTCTTGATGCTCTGCTGCCACTATACTTGAACAGTCAAATCTTGAGAGCATTACAGGAATCACCATCCAGTGAACTTGCTGCTAGGATGAGTGAGATGAGCAATGCTACTGATAATGCAGTCGAATTGAAGAAAACATTGTCTCGAGTATACAACAGACAACGTCAAGCAAAGATTACTGGAGAGATATTGGAGATTGTTTCTGAAGCCAATGCTTTGACCTGAGTACAGTTCTTAAATTCTTGGTCCCTCATAATTATGCTTCTCTGTCAGGTATTTATTTTTATGGGAGATTCCATTTTTATTCCTATCGTGCTTGTTTAAGAGAAAAAGTACGTTGGATTAGATAAATTTTATTATAATTCTCTTCTCAACTGCAAGATGAGGATCTCCATGTATTTTGAAACGTAAAGAGTATTCACTCTATATTTTTTTTTCCTAATTGTATTCCATAATTTTATGTTAGAAGCTCCATAGTTCGACCACCAAACTTGGTTTTCGGGGCATTGTAAAAAAAAGACTGAATTTACCAATTAAGAATATATGCACACATAAACTATGTCGCTCAATCTAGAATTCAGGTTGATGTTCATCTCAAATCTGATTTATCTTCAGCTTATTGAGCTGGTTGTTACTTTTATATGTTGTTGAATGCTCGGAATTTCCTTTTTAACTCATCTTTTCTCAATTTTCATTAGAGTACTTGATGCAACACCAATAGCACACCCAATGGAATATGAGAAACAATTCACTAGGGAAGAAGAAATCAGAGGTAGAGATGGCAGAAGAAGGAAAAAAATAATGGAGGAGGAGAGGAATTTCACCATAAGCCACCAATATTTTATTCAACGAATCAAATATAAATAATAAAACCAAGCCCTAAAGAAAGTGGGCTTGGGTCAAACTCATTGTACAAATCCAATAACATGAATATAAATAAGAGTCCAAAATGTAAATGAGAGTCCAAATAATAATAAACAAAAATAGATGTCCCTATCAACTCTCCGAGGTAAAAGGAAACTCGACCCTATCGAGTGAGTAAATCACAAAAATACTGTTGTCGATCTGCTACCTAAAATGTTCCAAGTCATGCCATGAGGGACAATTTTTCTGATGAACCAAATATCGACAATAAAGGGCAACTAGTCAGTATTCATTCATCTCATCTCCAAAATCTTCACTTAATTGTGCATAATGCGAAGCACAATAAGCACTTCGATCTACCCAAAAAACAAGGGAGTACCTATTCTCTCCATCAATTGTTAACATAACATGCTCATCTAAAATAGCATCAATTTTATCTTTGTGGACTATGATGATGTTATTGGAGTAGAAATAAAAGTATATGTTGGTTGGGGGTCCACATATGAAAGTAGAAAAGAATCATCAAAACAATTAAAACGACCTTTGTAAGTAACTAAGTCTTCAAAATTTAAAGTATGATTGTAGCCAAAATGTGAGAAATGATCAATGACATATGCATTTAGACCAATATGCTTTAAAATTTTAAAAGGACCATTACTACAATCTTGCGATATAACATAATTCCCAATATTAAATTCAGTATGTTGTTTATGCAAATCAACTCGAAATTTATATGATGCATTACTTGTCTCAAGGTGATTATTGATCTCAAAATGTTCTGATATCAAATTTGATGTAGCACCGATAACACACGCAATGGAATATGAGAAATAATTCAGTTGGGAAGAAGAATTTCGAGGTAGAGATGGTAGAAGAAGAAAACAGTAGAATAATGAAGGAAGAGAGGAATTTTGCTACAAGCCACCAATATTTTATTCAATCATCAATTGTCTAAATTGCACAACGAATCAAATATAAATAATAAAACCAAACTCTAAAGAGAATGGACTTGGGTCAAACCCATTGTATAAGTCCAATAACATAAATATGAATGAGAGTCCAAATAGAAATAAATAAAAATAGATGTCATCATCAGTACTATAGTGACCTTTTTCATCATAGATTTCAATGGTTTCCATGACTTGACAATGCAAAATGGATACAACTATGAAAGTTGGAGTAAACGTATGCATGTTTGATTTAACTACATTCGCACTAGGCTTTGATAAGGTGCAGAAATATGCATCTTTCTTTGGTAGAACTCTTTATCCCTCGATATCACTTATAAAAGGGTAAACAATTTACTCATTATAATTTACAACAAGAAATTATCCATTGTTCCCATTGCAAACTAATGCATGTTGACTAAAATCGAAAAAAGAAAACGGTGTCTTGTAAATTCAATATTGGCATTTATGGAGCATAGGTGGTAAACCCGTACAAAATTATTTTGTGTTCAAGCAGGTTGGTCAAGAGATTTTAAACGCCATGTGTGAAATTTTAAAAGAGTAACATTATTTCCTAAAATTAAGAAATGTATTTAAAGAAAAAATTAAATAAAACTATTATATCAATATTCACTATTTGTACCCACTCCTCTCTTTTTTCTCCAAATACATTCTTTCAATGGATATTTTCTTGTGTATATTACCTTCTTCGTTACTATATTCTCGTACATGAGAATACAAATTAGTCTTGTTTCAAAAGAAAGTAAAAGCCCAAAAACCATGTGAAGACAACAAAATTATAACATTCAAATATTATTTGTTCTTTCAACATAAAAGAAAAGTACAAGTAAAGTTTCAAAGTACCCCAAAACTTAAAAGAACTCATATATCAACACTAATCGAAAAAGCATCAACCAAGCTACATCTGACGAGAAGAGGAACATTCATGGATAAATCTAAACGGACAGGGCCACGTAGGCCCTGTTCGTGTAGCAGCGCCCGAAAATAATTTGGTTGACCAGCAAAAACTTTTCTAATAAGAAGCCATTAATTGGAAAAAAAAAATTAAAACTTTAATTTTTGTTTCAAGCCCATGTTTGGTTATGATTAAAATTTAATTTTAATTTACGTCAAAGTCAAACAATCAATATTAATCACACATTTCAAGAGTTCCACAATTTTTTAACCACACATTTCAAAAACTTCTATCATAATTCATCAAAAAATCTAATTTTAATCGCCACCAAACATCCTCTATATATATATATCAGTTTAATAATTAATTCTTATGCCTTTTCTTCCTTAAATATGTTTGCCTTCTAAAAAAATCTTTGAATTAAAAAAATAAAAATAAACAAATACATAACTAATTATATTTGTGGTGTTGAACGATTGCAATACCCACAAACCCAATGAATTGGTCATGTCTAAGATTTAGAGCATGTTTGAGCCTCATTTCTTTTGGAGGGGGTGGGGACAAAAATGCATTTTGGAATAGTGATTTGAAAGAAAATATATAGTTAAAAAATAGGAAAAAGTTTTGAATTTACTTGCAATATTATTTTATCGAATAATGTGTGAATGAAAAATAAGAGAGAGAAAAATATATTTTGGAAAGAGTAATATTATGGAATTTCAATTTAAATGACGCTAGATGAAAGATGGAATTAAATTTCACTTATCATTTAATGCAACATTAACGCCACCTAGACGGAGCTTGTAATCCCAGACTAAATAGCATTACTCTTTTGGAAATAATGGGGATGAAATAAGAGCTTACTTTGGCCTAGACCTTTGTACGTGATTTAGTTTTAATGGGGTTGGTCCAACTTAAGCCCATGTTTAACACTTTTAATTTATTTTCATTTTTGCTACAAGATCATTTTCAATCATATATTTATACAATAAAATATTTTATTCATAAATCAATTTCTTATATTTTTTTAGCCACACATTCTTCAAAAAATATTATTCAAAACTATGTTTTGAAAATTTTAAGGCCACCAAACATGAGTAAAGATCTTCTCTCAAATTTTGTTGTACATCTAATTAATTCTTGACATATCATTAATTTAGTGGGTTAGTAGTGAAATTAGTGAGAGTAAATTTAGATAATATATTAATTATTGATGACATATCAAAAATTAATTGGATGGACAGAAAAATAGGATAACAGATTTTGACTCACCAGGGGCTAAATAAGGTGTAATTAGCTTATTTATGATTAATAGCAAAAAAATCCCCCTAAAAACGTTTTCATATGCGACATTCACCCCTTACCTATTGAAAATAAAAAAATCCCCCCTATTTGAAACCTTTTGTGTGAAAGATTTGCCATTTAAAAAAGTAAAAAAATATATATATATGTTAAAATTAAAAAGACATAATTGCAATTTCAATACCAAAACTTTTTATTTTTTCACAAATTAAATCTAAATTTTTTTATATGTGCCACTTGCAATCTCAAATCTTTAAAACTTTATCTTTCACCTCACCCCACCTCATCTAACCCCATCCCACTTCATCTTCTTTATAATAAATATTAAATAAAAAAAGTTTCTTCCCCGTAATCTTGATTTCACTATTATTATTGTAGTTGTTGTTGTTGTTGTTATTATTTTCACTTTTAATGTAGTCTGTTGATGCATATATTCTCTGATACTATTTGAAAATCTGCTTTTTTTTCTTCTGAAATTTCTCCATTTATGTAATATTTCTTATTTTTAGGATATTGTGGATCCCTTGGAAGAGATGCAGCTACAGAAAGAGAAGTCCTCTTTGCAACTGAGGCCCTGCTTAAAGAGTATGGGAAGAGCATTGCTGGTCAACGTATTGTTGTGCTGGTGCCGATGTTAGATCATCCTTAATTCATATTTTGATTAGGCCTAGAGTTGAAATGAAATAAAATTTGATGAATCTTAATGCAGATATATTTCCTGTGGAAGTGATTGGATAGAAAAAGACTCCAATTGTTTATTAAGCCCATTTTTTACATTCTATATTGTCTCAAGGATTATGGAAATGTTGGTTCTTGGATCTTGGTCTGCTGGGGGAAGAGAGTTGCAGTAAGTGATATTACAAGAGTTATAAAGAACAACGGTGGAAACCCAATTTTTATTTTTTGGCCTTTTTATTTTTATTTTT